TGTGAGCTTGTGGTGGCGGTACGGACGTTGCAGGCTGGAAAGGGACAGATGGCGGCTGTGGTGGCCTTATCACCGGCGGCCCTTTTGCCATCTGTCCCATTGGAGGCGGCGGCATCCCCGCCATTCTAGCGACCACCCAACTAGCAACTGACTACTGCCAAAGCCCTAGTCAAACCAAACTCCAAATCTGATTGACAGGAGCTGTGGTAGAGCCATAATGTTTTCACAGCAAGATAAGATTAGCAATGCCTTGGGCGAACACATGCAAGCAGCTTGCATCATCATCTTGCTTTCAGCAATTGTTTCGATATAATAAATCGATCATTGGTCTAGCTTGAGTATCAAAACACAACCGGAGATCACTGGAGTCATCATGCAAGTTGACTCATTTTGCATCTGGTTAAACAGCTGGTATCACATTATCTGAATCACATTCATCACCGTTTCAAAATTGCCGAAGTCTAGGCCTGACTGTCAGAATGCTACTTAAATCTGACACATGCCAAGACAGTGAACATCCACATACCGAAAGTGCTAACTTGGTAAGCATTTCCAGCATATCTACTTCCCCTCTTGATGTCAGGGAAATCAAATGGGACGAGACCGGCACGCAGTGCCAGTTCAGCATACACCGGCCACCCCATCACTGCAAGTCGTTCAGCTGGAGTGACTATGGTTTCAGTCATCGGGTGGAAAAGTATACCCATCGACTTTCTAAAAGAAGGAAAACGATTGTCACCAGACCAACAAAGTCTTTCATTTGGATTATCGCCTAGATGGAAAATGCAGTTCGGATCAGATTTCGCTGTTCGACCGAACCGCTGCAACCACTTCTCCTCATAGATGGACAGTCGCAACTTCTCACTGTCAAGCAAAAGGTACTTGAAGGAATTGTAAGCTTTCCCAGCTGGCGGGGCTTTCAGTCGCACACGGCGGGCCTCAGCCAGGCACGGAACTCACAAAGGAAAGCAAACGATTATTCGGTTAATTTCCCATGGCTGGAAAATTACTCTGAAAATTTCTTTTCAAAATGTTACAAATCCAATCCTCTCGATGAGGAGCAGTAGCCAAATCAATCTCACATTGGCGCAGCTCAGATGGTGTTGCTCCAAGACAGTGAGCAACAGAGATTGTATGTGCAACAGCTAGCCGAGCCGTTTTGACAGCCCAGCTCACCCTGTCAATTGCACAATCCAAGTCCACCATGATTTCAACTTCTCCTGGGGCTGCTACCAAAGTTCTAGGCCCAATAGTTTGCCAACAGGGGGGGGCGTAGCCAAACACAACCATCTTAAAATTGAAGTGTAGTTTTGGCTAGCGCCCTGTCCTCGCAGCATCAGCAAGATAAAAACTCGCATTCGCGACAGAAATTCGCAGCCTGAATCTGAAGGTTCCATGTAGAACGGCTTCACCACATAAAGATCACCCATCAATGCCTCCAGGACAGAAATCGGAAATTCCGGCACATTTTCCAGCAGAGCGAGTTTGGTGCGTCGTTGGCGGTGCCATGCGCAAAGAGCTAGCAAAGCTGGAAATGATGATCCATGAACTCCTAGTTGCTTTCCAGCTGGTGAATAGTCAACACATGGGAAGCCACTGATGTCAAGATCCGATGGAAGAAGTTTGCACAAGCAGCCTCCATGCCGTTTGCAATGGATGTAATCTGAAACGGGTGCAGTCATCATCTGATGAATTTTCTGTTCCAACGTCCATGTACCAATGTGATGTTGATCCGGTTTGACAGCATAGTGATCGAGCACATCAATGCCAACATGTTCGTCAACTGCTGAGGCGCAAAAATGTTGTAGTACTCCTTGGCATCCCTTATCAGAGTCCTTGGGCCGGCTGGCGGCTGGTTGACTGTCATGTCAAACGTGATTGATCAGTAGGCAGCTAGCTTTCATCCAAATAAAATAGAAAACAGAACGTCAAAATTGGCTGCATGGGTTGAAGTGCAACCATGAATCAATTGAGAAATGATGTTTCCATCTTGCGGTCAGTGGCAATCCCGAAGAATGCAGCGCTGCTGGCAAAAAACCTTCCAGAAGAAGCTTGTCGGGCCCAATGCCAGAGAAATGGGAGGAATAGTACTTGTCTGTCTGACATCAAAGCAGATTCCTCACAGGGACAGCCTGGGTTGACCCTAGTCAGTGACTCTCTAATATACCTTCCAGTCAGTGTTTACCATACATGACTTGCGGTACTTGAAAAACATACCCAAAGTCTAAAGTTATGATTGTTATTTTTACTTATTATAATCCTGACAGTGGTGATTGAAAAAGGACATGTGTCAAAAATGTGTCAAACTTGTTTTGAGCGTAAATGTCCTGGAATTGCTTCAAACCAAGCATTTCTGTCAAAGTCGCAACGGTAGTGTGCGCCCACTCGAATGTACATGCAAAAGAATCGCCATGACCAGACCGGCCATTGCGATGCGCCGACTCTGAATTCATCGTCTGAGTGTAAGGTTATTCGTTTTGTGAGCAGAACTAAACTAACTGTTTTCAGACTCAGGTCTGTCTGTGCATCCAATCTTTCAAGTATACATTTGATGGCCTTGAACCACAACATTTGCCTTTTATCAGTGGTGCTATCAGTCTGTGATTCCCCCTTCATTCCGATTCAGTTCAACCGGCTAGCCCAACAGCCGACAACCTATCCATTCAAACAGACAGATCCGGACGGTCAAGCCTGTGGATATGTCATAGCGACCAACTGCTTTTCCAAGGAGACCACTGTGATGACATCAACTTTTGTAGAACCGGCCATGCCGGCATCCCACACAACCTGAGGCAGGCGAACATATCATATATGATATCAATAATGGTGAACCAATGCAGGGCTATACTTACCAAGCAAACATAGCGAATCCAGGACAAAGGAATGCATTGTAAGAAAAAGAAGGCAAATAGTAAATCATGGAACAATTCAAAAAACAGTTTGTGTTTTTATTTCCTGGAGTCATGGGGTCTCTTATTCACCCTTGATGCATCTCATCGAGACTCCAATTGTCAAATTGACCAAACCGAGACAAATGACAGGAAGAACAATCCAGTTTTTTATCACTGAAACCTCTTTGTTTTATCAAACACTACAACTGACCTGACCATGCAGAGGCCCTGCCTGCAAAGCAGAACAGTCTTGAAATTCTCGGATGCCAATAGAGCGGTAGCTAGAGCAGAACACCTGACAATTACTCGCCGACCGAACTCCACACGGCAATCCGGCAAGCCATTGGCAATTGAATGATATCAGCATTTTATTTTCGCAGTTTTATTTCAACATGATTCACGACACCCTGATACCCAAGCCAACCTTGTAAAAAGCAGCGACTCTGCCCATGTCTGATTCCGCCAGTTTGTGAATTTTGATGTTCCCCTGGGAAGCGGTGGTTGTGGATGCAATCAAGTATGCTTTTCAAAACAGTAGTCTGTGAAACGTAAGAAGTTCGAAGTCTAAAAATTACTTTACTTCGTGTGATCCCCACCATGACATTTATCGATTTGTTACTGGCAAATCTTCTGGCATTCTATCTGACATATTTTCTGGCATTCGATCTAGCATTCTATCTGGCATATCTTCTGGCATATCTTCTGGCATTCTAATACCTGGCAAATCTTCTGGCATATGTTCTGGCATATTATCTGGCATTCTATCTGGCATTCTATCTGAATCTGGCATATCTTCTGACATACTATCTGGCATTCGTCTATCTGGCAAATCTTCTGGCATTCTATCTGGCAAATATTCTGGCACTTTATCTGGCATACCTTCTGGCATTCCATCTGACATTCTATCTGGCACACCTTCTGGCATTCTATCTGGCAAATCGTCTGGCATTCTATTTGGCAAACATTCTGGCACTTTATCTGGCATACCATCTGGCATTCTATCTGGCATATCTTCTGGCATTCTATCTGGCATATCTTCTGGCATTTTATCTGGCATATCTTCTGGCATTCTATCTGACATGCTATCTGGCCTTCTATCTGGCATATCTTCTGGCATTCTATCTGGCCGTTGAGGTCCATTGGTGCACACTGAGCTGGGCAGGTCCCAGGTTGAGGTCCAGCGGTGCTCACTGAGCTCGGCGGGTCCCAGGTTGAGGTCCAGCGGTGCTCACTGAGCTCGGTGGGTCCCAGGTTGAGGTCCAGCGGTGCTCACTAAGCTCGAAAGGTCCCAGGTTGAGGTCCAGCGGTGCTCACTCAACTTGGCAGGTCCCAGGTTGAGAGGTCCAGCGGTGCCCAGTGCGCTCAGACCCTTGCAGTTGAGGTCCAGCAGTGGCCACTGCGTGCGGAAGTTGGCGAAGAGCTTGGCGATGAGTTGGCAAGGCGGAAGTGAACATGGAAGTGGAGGCAGAGGTGGTGGAGGAGAAGGGGGAGGAGGAGAAGAAGGAGGAGGAGGAGAAGGAGAAGAACAACTCTGATAAAATCTAACAACCCTCACCGTCACCTGGGGAAAAATATCGTATAAATCAATATATATAGATATATATATATATGTATGTTTTGGTGAAACTGAAAACCATCTCAACTGTTAGTCAATGCTTTCAAAAACTATGTGTTTCATTTTTCCCATATCGTTTCTTTTGAACTGTGGAAACCTCCTCGAGTTGACACAGCAGCCAATCATAGTATCCAGCAGCAATCAAATCACGATGGCCCAGGTTGTCCACAAAAGCCGTGGTTGTCTCCACAGGGCTACAGGATTGCAAAATTTTGACGAACGATTTGGAAACTTCAAGCAGCGCCATACGAGCACATGGAAATAATGATGCCATTCCATCAGGCAGAGTCCAGCAGTGAAGAAAACATGCAGCCAACAACTCGCCGGGTGTGCAAAGTTTCACCTTGGAAAGCAATGAGGATTAATGAAGGTGGTCTAAAATTTGGATTATTATTTCAGCTACACCTATATATATATATGTGTGTGTTTTTTTAATGAGGCGTAAAACAACAAAAAGAAAACTTTAAACAGAACCTTTGAACCCCAAATGCCAATCAAAGCACAGGATTGTTGAGTACCGGAGTGGTACTTGGCAAACTCAGATCAGACGCCAGTACTGAGTTCCACCAATCGATAACTGATGGCCCTGCAGTGAGTGATTGAAGTGCAATCTTTGCTTGCTGCACCTTCCCATTGACAATTGGCAAGGCCACACGGCCAAATGGAAGAGCACAAACCCGTCCCACGTCTGTCTGGAGTGATTGGTCGACCAAGTCCCTCAAAATGGTAGCAGTCAAGTACCTACGCTCGTAGGTGGAGGAGCAACTGGAATGCAGCATCGTTGAGGCTACCAAAAAAGTCAGCACAAATTGTGCAGTCCCATGCGGTGTTTTCAAAAACGCTTTATCGCCTTCGGCGACATAGGCATCCCATTTTTCAGCCTGCCGTTTCCCATCCGAGCCCTGTACCACTGTTGGTTCGGGGGTGTGGTGGCCATAAATTGCATGAAATACTTCCGCAAAGGAGGCAGTCTTGGTCTCAATGATGTTGTGAATGCGCCTCAGATTTAATATTGGCAATTGGCAGTGAAGCGTTTATGTGGTATAAACATTGTTATAATCGTTAATATGGCACTTAAAGGGTGAACTATAATATTTGAGGCAGTGCCACACATAATGAAAATCATATATGTAACCATCAAAGGCGCCTGCTTTTGGGATAGAGCGCCTCTTTGAAACTCTTCAGCTCGAGAAACACAATGCCAGTCTCAGCAGAGTGAGCCGGGACGAATCCACAGATTTCTGGACATTTCCCGTAAGCCGGCAATGTGACTCGTCGGTTTGCGCCAGGAAACGGCATAGAATCGCCATCATCACCGTCGCCGAATTGGAAATCCATTCGTGTATTGAAAACTATTTTATGACACTTGAAGTCAGTGCAACATGGTTCCTCCATTGTCTTTTGGATTCATGAATCAGTGTTATCTCGATTTAGGTAATGATTTGATGGTTTGTCAGTAGCAGTGATTTGGTTGAATATCATCTTACCACCCAAGTCTGGTTGGAGCCCAAAGTAAGGATATACAGGTACCAAGTTCAAAACTTCCTCCCCTCAAATACCCTCTCCTGAAAAACCCGTAGATACATATATAAATATATACATATACGTATGCAGTATGTATATGTCTATGTATCCCCCCCGTGAAAGTGGTGGGGGTTGGGGGGAGGCCGCGAACACGAGACACGGAATCATATACGGTCGTATAATATATGATAGCTATCTTTATGTATATGTTTATATACGGCATGCGTATACATAGGTGTCTATAAATACATATACATAATTATACATACCTATATACATGTATACATATATTTATATATTCCCATGCAATGGTTGGTCTTGCTTTCCCATTGTAGATTTTCACTGTATTCCCATTACGGTTTGTGTTTGCAAATCCGTTCCCGGATCATATTGAAGAACCCCAGAACGAAACTAAACCTTGGTGGTGAAATGTACGTATATATGCGTATGTTTCAACTCGCTTTGGTTGGTTTTACTGCATATGCCCATTTAGATCCCCATTATATGCCACGTCCCTTTCTACACGTTTTACTCTGATCTCAAGTTGCTATCCCCATGGTGAAACCATCTGAATCTCCCAATTTTCTGATGCTTCACCCCATCAAGTGCCCAGTCACTTCACGTTGGCCGGCATCAGCCCTGCCATGGCTGCACCTGGCTGTTCGAAAGGATGTTCCGTTGAGTGGAAGAAATCGAAGAAACCGTGGGAAACACATCTGATTCAAACACTAAAACACTTCAAATAGCTGTGTGGCTACAATCCAGTTAGATGCCTTTGTAGCTGGATGTTGTGGATGTTATATTCCCACAGCTTGGCAACATTTATGCGATAAGAGTGAAGTATGAAACTAAATGAAACTAAATGAAACTATCCAAACAAGTTGTTTAGCCCGTTTACTATCGACGAAACAATAGCTAGCTTGCATGCTTGTGAACCACTTTCCCCTGACGAGTTGCCCGATGACTTGGGAAGGTTGGTCCACCGCTGAAAAATGCAAACAAATCGCAGGGAACCGTGCAAGACATTAGCGTATCTCATGATTTCATGAATGGAACCTATGGAACCATGTTGTTTTTTCCCACTGCTAGTTTGGCACAGGCATTTTCGGAACTTGAAAATCACACAATGTGCAAATTGGTTGGCGAGTTTGTTGCTGGACGCAGGAGACCGTTCATCAATGCCGCTGGCAGAACTGCTCGAATCTTCAGATTTCAGTTGGGGCACTTCGGAACCAAATTTGAAATCAAAGAAAATCTGCATCAGTCAGTGCCCCTGGATGCATCGTTCTTGTTGGCGCCAACCCTCCATCAAATAACAGACAACATCAAGATGGTCATAGCGAGCTGTAACTATTAATGATGTTGTATCTTCAATCACGGCTCGATCTTTTTGTCAGTGCCAGCTTCCAAAAAATAGCGCGCAACCTCAAGATTGCCACAGCGAGCTGCAAGAAATAATCCTGTGGCACCATGATTGCGTGGAGCAGCTGCCTCAAGCAATGGGGGTCATGCCTTCGGGCTATGCAGAAGCGCATTCTTATGAGCACCCGCTTCAAGCAAGAGCCGCACGCTTTCAACATGTCCCCTCCGCCGGGCATGGTGCAACGGTGTCATGTTGGTCTGTGACATTAGGACTCAAAGGACTCTTAAGCTCTCCAGTGACTCCAGTGCAATCAAATCATCGATGCAGAGATCATACGCTCTGCTCCGCACCAGGTGGGCAAAATTCTGTCACCATCTGAAGTTTCACTGGGGACGCAAAGTCCTCAGAAATCTGTGAACCATCTTCTGAAAAGAGTCTTTGTCTGAATCTCGTCACGCCGATCTGAGTTGCCAGGAATTGCGTCATAAACTTTACAGCCTTTGCAGACTTCCCTTGAATTCATCAAGGGCAAGGGCCACCAGTGCAGCACCCGAGACAAGGAAATGCATCTCAATTGCTACGCTTCATCAAATCAAACCAACCTATATTTAGATTCCTTGAGAGGCATTCACATAATCTTGGATGTGTGTAGTTGTGTTATTACTAGTATTATCATGTATTATCATTATTGTCTAGGCATGTAAGACAGGTCTTGACAACTATACGTTTTTATCAGATGCGACTTGTACTGGCTGGATCCTGCTGGAATAGACCGAGGGAATTTGCAGGGAATATTCACCAACTCAAACCATGGGGAGCCATCGATTCCAAACAGAACGCTTCATGTCTTGCAAGAGTTCCAACTCAAATCCAACTTGGTTCTTTCCCACGTGAAATTGGGTTCCAACGTCCATCTGGGGTGTGAAAAAATCACGTGTATACTCAAAAAAAAGATCGACAAGTAGATCCCTACTAATTTGATGATGGTCTACTTGTCTATCTTTTTGAGGTTGCATAGGTTGCTTCACTTGGATCGGTCCGAGGCACCCATGGCAAAGGCCACAGGAGACGTCATGTACTGTCGTGACAGGCCTCGGTTGGCAGCCATGGAATCCCACAGGAAGATATCTGATACTTTTTGTCATCGGATATCGGACATCATGAGAATATGATCATCCGTTGTGTATGTATATATATATAGAGATACTGAAATCTGATGTTGTGACCGGCATGTCTAATTGGGAATTTCAAAGGAAACTATCAATTCATTGGTTCTCACGGCTGGCAATGGAGAGAGTTGTTGATAGGGAAATCAACAGGAAATCGGAAGGAATTGGTGGATTTTCCATGTTCACGTCACTTATTGAAGAAAAACTATTGGGAAGCGCTGGGCTCTTATATAGTTTCTACGTAATCAATCAACATGTGATAGCATGGGTTCGGGGATACCCTCCAGGGCATCACGACCTTTACCAGACATGACTACCACCCGTGAGCCAAGATGTACTCACCCATTGGTTCAGGGGACATACTAATAGGATATCAGGATATTTTACAATGGAAAATACCCTATTTGAGCGTGGCTCAAAAATATCCTATCCCTCTTTGTCCCTTGAAACCTTTGAGCCGCTCCCTTGGCAGCCGGTCATTGGACAATGTCGAAGTGAAAAGACACGCAATCGTTGATGAATCGTTCGGTCGTTGGGACATCCAGTAGCATCACCTGGCAGAGGCGGGTGATTTTACATGGTCTCCTTATCTCATGACATCGTTGGGAGGAGCTGTCATGAACTGTGCCACCTAAGTGGGTTGTGAAAAAAAAGTTTTGTAAATCTTGGGAAACTGGGTACAGGCTCCACAATTGAGCTTTCCCAGCCTTTCTCCAACCCTATCAATTGACAAGAAGACCAAGTCTGGATACCTGATGCAGGTCCTAAACCTCTCTGGGATGGGTTCTGTACAATGGTTTCTGGATTAAAAATGCCAACCAAACTCATCTCTTCAAACAAGGTACAGTAGAACCAAATTACTGTCAACCAGGCTCACAAAGCTTTAAAGTTGCCAAATAGGCGATGAATTATGGTTTGCCTTTGCCAAATATTTGACCCTCAAAAGTAAAACCAGCTTGGCCATCCAAAGTGGTCATATCAAACCTTTGCAGCCTGGGTTTTCACATCAAACAGCTGGTTGATTCCCACCAAAAAAACATGTGTGCGTGTCTTAAATGTGGTACAAGGGTACCACGAAATCCAGAGGGTTAAAACCGCGTTTTCCCATGAAAAACTGTAAAAATGACCATTTTTATGTTGGGTAAATCCCTTAGATTCAGCACACTGTTTTTTCGGAGACATGGGTCTGGCCTCCAGAAGGCACAAGCCAAAGGAACCCTCCAAGGCTTCTGCCCAACGCCTGCAAGGCTGGCTTGATCAGGTTTCTGGGAGACTTAGTTAGATAGACGTGTACATACAGGTTTTTTGTTTAACGCACTCCATTTGGGGAGACAAATAAATTATACGTATGTTCAATGTTCCTTTTAGAGACAACTGATTTACTGTGTGCATGTCTTTGCTGGGTATATATATATAACTCTATATATATTATACATATAATATATATATATAATTATACATATAGAGCCAGCAAACGGGAGGTTTTCACTGACTGAAATCCAGGGAAACCCTGCAGGAAATGGAAATCCATTCGTTAAGTTCTTACCATCTCTCGGATTGTGCGAATTTCTGGCTTTCTGTTTGACACAAAGGCTACATGTTTGGGGGTTCCAAATGCTAAACCTTTCGAGAAGTTTGGGCAATGAAAAATTAAAAGGTGTTCACCAAAAAAAACAGACTTTTTTGGGCAAAGGTAGCAGCTTTGAAAGGTTAACAACCTTCACCAAAATAATTATAACCAAGTTGTGTCCAGTTGTGTCAGTATATATCGGCATATATCGGCACAACCCAGTTATATCCCAGGATATACTGTATTAGTCGTATAAACCTCCACCCTTCCTCCACCCCCAAGCATGTTGGGCCCCGCCCAAAGTGCTCCACCAAGGAGTTGAACGACTCTTCTGACGAAAGGCGTCGCCCGGGCCTCAAAATGATGAGCTGATGGAACCCGGAAAATAGGGAAATTCTAGGGAAAATCGACCAATGGTGGACTTACCATGAAAAATGCTGGATTTCAGTAGGAAGAACGGGGATATAGTGGGAATATAACTAACAGTACAAATATACAATGTACATATACATATACATATATATATATAAAGATATATATATATATGTATATATGTATATATACATACACATGATTTGGGTGCATCTGAGAATGGGCTATACCCAAAAATGGGATGTTCGGATCTAACCGACCGTAATCTTGTTTGAACCAGCCCATGCGAAATATACGAACCAGTCACAAGGGATCATCCCAGCAGAGATGTTTAAAGAAAAATACGATATTCAAAAGTGCCAAGCAGGGTTAGTCAAAGGTTCCGAAAATCCATGCATGCTCCTTGGTGAAATTGGTTGCTTTGATCCTGAGTCTCAAATTTTATGGCAGAAAACCTAGTAAATCCGTGAAAATCCAATTGCAGGCATAGTAGTCATGAGTTTTCTCCAACAAATGTGCGGAGCATGTTACCAGAAATCCTCAGAAATCCTCAGAAATCCTCAGGTCATCAGGTAGCCAGAAACCGAGACATAGGCAGACACGGGCAGTTGCAAGTCTCCAATGATAGCCGCTTCATAAACCTTAAGCCCTTAATTATCCTTAATTTGCTTGTTGGTTGATAGGTCCAAAAGAAAAAGCCTTGTTGGAATTTTTATGGGGGGTCACCTGGAGAAGCTATTTGAATCCCCAGGGCCCCAGGTCCCACACTTGTCCAAGTGGACGCAGTCACGCATGGCTGACCTGCGGCCGGTCCCACGGTCCCATGAAGGTCATATATCTGGACACTAAGATAGAATACAAAATGTATATCGAACATTGTTTCAAACAGAAGCCCCCAAAATGGACAAGTTGCCATGTTCATTTCAAATAGAAGCAATTGGCAAAACAGACCCAATGTTTAGACAATTGCTTCTGTTTGGGCCTTGTCTATGCCGATAACGGTTCCAAAGGTTCTCCAGAACCACCTTTAAGAGGCCTATGATTTGCCATAATTCATATCATCATATAATTATCCAGAATTGGTAAACCAAGGTCTCTGGTTTTTCAGGTGGATCAAACCTCAATATCAAAAGAAAAACAACGTGACGACGTCTGGGACACAACGGGATCATCTGCCGACCATCGGCACCTGGCGAACTCGGCCGCCACGCTGCCAAGCTGCTGCGTGGGAGCCTTGGAAAGGGGGGAAGCACTACGGCTTCCAAAATGCTTCAAAATTCCACTTAGTCACTTTGGTGTTTGCACGAAAGTATATTATGGCTTCAATGATGCTTGAACCCAAAAATAAACCATCCCCAATGATATTGAGTTTTGATTCTATTTGGGATCTACGTAGTCATGGTTGGTTAATGGTATGAATTGGTATGGTTTATGGCATTGGGTGAATCCCACATTACAAGCTTCCCAAGTCCGAGTATCCGTCCCAAAGCTTGACCATGGAACACAGAAAGAACTGGATATGCTTGGAGATTTGGAAATATGGATCAAACGTGGGTTTCCAAGAATTATTTGGATGAGTTTGTCTGCAAACAGTCCCAAATTTCACGCTCAATTATCCTTTGTCCTGTGAACTTGCCTAAGGATGTCGAAGCTATCCCCGTATCCCCTATGATTCACCCAAAAAATAAAGTACATGATAACAATATATAACAACACAATACATATATATATATATTATAACGATATAATATATATATACAGTAACAATTGCAAATGACCCAAATCTAAGCTCCTTCGTGGCCCACTTCGCACTTCGACCCATCTTCAGCTGGTCCCCCAGGCGATGTATGGTCGATCGTGGTCTAAGAAGGATCTCACGTGCAACCTGCAGGTGTGGAGTCCTAGAGGTAACAATTCAACAGAATCAGAAAGCTTACGAAACTGGGATTTATATTGATTTATGGATATTCTTATGGTGGATATATGTGGCATTCTATCTTCAGTTGGGTTTCGAAACCAATCACTGGGGGGTCCTCTTTGTAGGGAATGACGTCATGACAATGTTAGACCCACGACTCCCACAACACATTCCCTGCCATTGCAGATCAGGGCCCAGACGTTTTGTTCAGGTCGACGCCTTTCTTTTTGAGCCTTGGTGCAGACCCAGAGATGGGATCGCACCCCAGCAAGCCAGTGTCTTGTCATGATGTTCATACCTCACAATATCAATTGTTCAAAAAAGAGACCCAAAACTTGGGATTCAGTGGTAAAATTGCCGAATTTTGGATGATTTGGGGGCCCCCAATTTTACGAAACCTCCATATGGGTTTCTACCTTTTCTACTTTTGTGGCACCTCTCCACGTTCAGAAATAGTCCCTGCCCTCCTTGGATACCCTGACGCAGCCATGATCTGCTTCGGCTTGCCGATGTCTCCAAAGAGCACCATGTGGGTGATTTTACTGGGCAGGGCGGCTTCCCCGTTCCGGAGAATTCGGTGCATGGCATCATGGCACCATAAGAAACCGTTACCGCTGGTGCCCCTGGTGAAGCTTAAACCGCTGGGATTTGTGGATGTCCATCCCCGAAAATATGGTATAGGTTGTAATCCATGCCCATAAACAAGAAGAAACTTACCACTTGCAAATCTGAAATGGGGCAGGTTGCATGCAGTTTCATTCCACTAGTCGTGGGAAGTGGTAATTGACACCGTGGACCAAATTTCAGCATTCCAAATGAGAGACAGCTATTCATTCCTTGCCACGGCAAAAGTTCATGATTTTTTCCGGGAAGCTCATATCTCCCCATGGTATTGTGGAAGGAAGGTAAAACCTGCAGGTTAAAAGGGCTTGGTCCAACCTCGTGGAACGCTTGGATTGGAGGACACACAAAGGGGTTGGCCAACTGGTGGCCAGGGTTCAAATCTTTAGTTTCTATTCATGTCAAGAAAAAAAACTAAATGATACGAGAGATTCCATTCATTCCATGGATCCACTTTGTTGCTGAAAATCGATGGATCCATTCATCTAGCATTCACCAAATCTTCACCAAACGCTCAAACTCAACAAACTCGCCACCTCTTGGTCAGATTCACTGCGGTGGCAACGCGAGACCTGGAAAACAAATGTGCCATGGTCAAGTTACACCGTGCATATTGTGGTTATTAAACCAACCCAAAACTGGTATGTTTTGAATCCACAGGATATCTCTGTTTTTCTACGGTCTTATGAGTCTGAATTCGATGCGGTGATGTCAATTTTTATTCACAAGAAGTTGAACTCAAAGATGATAACAAAAAAATATACATATAGAAAATGGATTGACAAGCATCCCTCAATATTGGCTGCCTAACTGTTAACCATGGCACAGATGGGATGTGACTTACCTCCCAACGAATGTTGCCCAAAGGTATGGAGGGTGGAGGAACCTATGTTCACTGGAAACCACAGTTTCAGTAACATGAGTTGTAGATGTGCAAGATCTGGATTTGCGGAGAACTGTTTCTTCTGCAGAAATGAAAGTGGGGGATGCAGCGTCAATGGTTGATTGGGGGAAGGGTGATCTGCGAACACCACGAACACCACTCGAAGAGTAGGAAGCCAGAGGCAGGACACATCCGGGATTGCAACATCCTGAGACACACCTTTTTAAACCAGACCCTGACGAAAAAAAACAAAAATAACAAGTGACGTAGGGATCACGTGGAGAATCTTCCTCTTCGGCATTCATGGGACAACTCACTAGGTCACTGTTGTACCCAACAGAATTATTGTACTGTATATACGAGCTCGTCGTTGGGCAAAGGGGTAAACTCTTCACAAACGCTTGGAGGTCTTGGAGATCTCCCAACTCCTCAAAGATGTTGCAATGGATTTGGGCTTCACAATGGCCCTCAAACAAGGCCACAAACTGGTCCTGATTTCTATGATATATAGGTGCAGCCCTTATGAAACCCAGGTTTATTTTGGGAGAATTATTAAATAGCTAAGGGAACCCCATCATCTATACTTGAGTGAAACTACGTATATAGCTTGGGGAGACCCATCATCTATTGGGGGCTCCAGACCATCACATTTCGAGACTCCACACTCTTCGTTGAAGTCTACTCCCACCATCACCACTGGATGCTCCTGCGAAGTTTCTGGATCTCCCAAGATCCACCGAGCGGATTTCCGATACCCAACCCTCGAATGGAATCACCTCGTTGAACTGGAGGGCAACCAATGTTAATCGAAACTGATCCGTTTTTCGGGGGACCAAATGCGGTCCTTCATGAACTAGCAACTAGGGCTTTGTTAGCT